TACGGTCGATGTTATGAAGAAATTGGTGCCTTTAATGATACAAGATACATGGTGGGAATGTTAGATAGGGTAGGTCATAGATATCATTTTCATCCTCTTTTAGTTACATTGTTATCTAAATTAGTATATATTGCTGTTGTTCCCTTTTAAAAGATTGGCTCAGTGAGTGAGACGTTTGCTCGTCACGGTTCAATCCCGGCTTTTCAAATTATTTCTCCTGATCAAGTCAATTAAAAAATCTGTGGGATTTTTACACCGGATCACTAAGGGGCACAGGTAGCAAATATTTCATTAATTATCACTCGGCAGAATTTTGCAGTAGATAATATGATTGGTACAGAATGACAGAGGGAGCCATTGTCTCATGATATCAACATCAAGTCCGATTGGTTTAAGAAATATTGATGGCCCAACAAAATATGCCAGACACTGCAGACAAGCGAATTTCATCCTAGGTGTATATAATCAGCCAAAAATATCTAACAATTGATATGCCAATGATTCGTCTGGGCATAAAAAATGGTGAGATGACACAGAAGCCAAATTTTTGAGTGATTTTAAAATTCGCTTCGATCTCGCAATAAAAATGCTAGTCTACCAGAATTAATTTTTAAACTGTTTGGTTATTTCAGTGTACAGATAAATTAGAACGAGATAGATTAATTTTATTTTTAAACAAACTAATTCTACATCAGAGAAATGTAAAGGAAATCATGGATGCCAATGGTGTCAAAATATTGGTTGACCTTTTAACCTTAGCTCATTTACATACTTCCAGGGCAACAGTTCCCTTACAAGTAAGTTTTATTCCCTGGAAATTTTGTAATCTCGGCACCCGTTCCATAAAATTTTGAGATTCTCAAAGACTAGATGATTATGAAATTTCATATAGGGACTTTCAAACTTCTACTTCATACTTTTACTGTGTTTCCCTTTAGCCGCTTTGACTCACATTTCTGACAGAGATGATATATATCCATGTGATTAACAAACTGGCCAATCAAAACGCTTGCACATAGCCAATTTTCCTTTTGTTTTGTAAAATGTTTGAAATTCACCACAACATACAAAGCTATTTGGGTAAAGTGCACCAGAGTCCCATCTATAAGGAGATCTGTGACGCAATGCAAGCTGAAGTAACAGGATTTGTTTTATTTTCTAGTCAAATGTTATTGAAGCTGGGGCTGATATGAAGAGAGACAGTGAAAAAGAGTGGTATTATGGTAATGCTGAAAAAGAACGATTGGGTCCTTTCAGCTTTGAAGAGGTAATTTTCAGGCTGAATTTATTATATTTTGTTCATATTTGAGGCAAATATTAAATCATGGACTAATTTTAGAGCACATATATTTACCGATTTCCTTAAGACCTTAATCAGAAATGGTCATTTTCAAACATAGATTAGACATGAATGGCAAATGTAACCAAACTAGTGCTGGGTATAGCTAATCATGCCACGATAAGATACATATTGCAATACAATTGTCACGCCCCACTTTTTATTCATCGGGTATTGATACACAACCTTGCGATCATGTATCGCGATACATCGATTCACCGATATATCGAGCCAGTATTATTCAAAACCTTCTTTTGTTTTAGATGAAAGAATTTTGGAAGGAGGGTATAATAACAGCAAAGACGAGATGTTGGGCCCAGGGTATGGATGGTTGGCGGCCATTACATACTGTCCCGCAGTTAAAATGGATTCTATTGGCCACCAGTCAACCTGTAATGAATGAAACAGACCTAGCTACTTTAATACTCAATATGTTGATTAAAATGACAGAATATTTTCCTAGTCGGTTAGTTTGATTTTCACAAAATAATATATACCATTATTGATACTCATATTGAAGTGGAAAATTTTACCTCATTGCTCAATTACAGGTCTTCATCCAGATTTTTATGAACTTTTTTTATAGGTCTTGTCTTTACAATATCTTCTGCAAATTTGAGACTTGATTGTAAACCTTAAAGGGTTTGTAAGGAATCTTTCTAAATAGTATATGTGAATCAGGGACACTGAAAGCATCAATTTGTACCATTCCAATTTTCAATCAGACGTCTGTGGTTCCTGCAATTTCATTAAAACTAATGTTTGGTGACATCACTAATGGTTAACATTTGGGGAATAACAAGAACAACAGACATCTGATTTTAAAATTGGAATGGTGCAAATTGATGCTATCAGTGTCACTGATAGACTTAAAAAATTTAGAAAACCTCTTTACAATCCCTTTAATAGACAGCCCTTTGATCACATGAAATAAAATTAGGAATTTTAGGTTGTAACATTGCGGTTAAGCAATATTACAAAAGCATAGGCACAGGCATGTAGGCCTTACGCCTATCTAGTGATAGAGCAATGTTTGTGAAGTTAGTTTATAAAAATGATATAAAAATTAGGGTTATGCTGTTATTATCCAGGTTGATTTTTATTTTTCAGTGATGTTGATGGTGCCGTGATACGACCATTACCAAAAGTGAAACGTATTTTATCAGACGCGACCTGTCTACCACATATTGTTCAGGTATTGTTTAATCTTTGTTAAAACTTAGTCATTCTGAGTTACAGCCCTTGATTCTGAAAATAGTCTTTAAGTCTCTGCATTAGTTTGATCGGGAACAGAAAAGTAGAACATAAAACAATCTCATTTCAATTTATGAAATCTGAACTATGACAAGATTGGTCTTGCAGAGGGAAATATTTAATCTGGCAACGAATTTAATAAATTCAAATCACTTAAAGATTGGTTCCCATATTTTCATTTACAAATATGAAAATGCTAATACTTATATGAATAGAAAGTAGAGATGGACTTGGTAAAAAACCAGTTTGTCTCACAGGTCCATAATTAAAATTAGAAGAGAATTACCAGCAGAATTACAGTGAGTGACCGATCGAAAAAGGGCAATAAGTCTTTTTTTGTTTATCCAGACTGTACATAGATGTACATTTAAGATTGGTTAAAACTATAAGAACATAATGATATGATTAAGAATACATGATAATTCATTAGAAACACCAATTAATCAAATGATTTGCTTAATTTGACACCAAAAAATCAGGAAACCCATCTTTAAGCACTGGCGAGTAGCAAATAAGACCTAGATATGTGATCACTAAATTGAAACTTTTTATCAAAGTTATGTTATTGAGAACATGCCCTTTACCTTCAATTTTAACTGAGGCGTTAACTTCTAAGAATGCCATGTTGATCTGTTAACCTGTGCTACGATTTCATATCGTTTGTATGAACCTGTGTTATGAACTCAGAGACATAACTGTTGTGTGATAAATTACAATTTGTATTTTCTATTACAGCTATTACTGACGTTTGACCCAGTGTTAGTAGAGAAAGTAGCTACTCTGATATATTTATTGATGCAGGACAATCCGAATGTATCAAGACTCTATCTTTCTGGTGTTTTCTTCTTTATAATGATGTATACTGGTTCTAATGTTCTACCTATAGCTCGACTGTTTAAATACACTCATATCAAACAAGCTTTCCGTTCAGATGAGGTAAAAAAAAACCTTTTGTTTCTTGTTCATTCATTTTAACTGTCTTGATAATGCTGCAAGCACACAAGTGGTCTTGGGCCCTGATTTTTGTCGCTGACTAGAGTCTTGTCAAAAGCTTCACCAACCAGCTGTGGGCACACGAAGAGACAAAAAAGCTCCATTCAGTCGTTTTACACCATGTTGATAATAACGTTTGGATTTTTGGATCATACAATTGAAAGGAAAATGATTTTGATTGGATGATGACGCTCTGTTTTGCAGACAATAAAACAATCGGTGACAAATTTTAAACTGGTTTGATATTATAAATCTTGTCTACATTGTGATAATCTTATTGTGGAAGTGTTGGCACACGTGAGATTTTACTAAAGATTTGCGTTGACAAAAATCAGCGACAAAGACAGTCCGTGTGTCTGCACCATTAGTTGGAGTTTTATGTTTTCTGTTTCCAAGGACCAGCTGGAAGACAGATCCTCAGAAACTTAAGTTGTTCTCCTTGTTAAATCATAACCAAGAGGTTTTTTTTGTTGAACAGCTGAACATTGTAAACTAAAGACAAAAATAGAAAAGTACACAAAACTTTGTTGAAAAATATCTAATTTTAGAATACAAGTTCTGACATTATGGTGAGAAGTATTATGGGACATATTCTGCCCGAAGCTATGGTGTGTTATTTAGAAAACTATTCAGCTGATAAATTTGCTGAAATATTTCTGGGTGAATTCGATACACCAGAAGCTATCTGGAATAGTGAAATGAGGTGAGGAAAAAGCTTAAAGATTTTAAGGATGACTGACAAGGCAGCTCAAATGACCGAGGTTCAATATCCTCTGCCGAACATCAAGCATAGATTTGTGACCTTCTCTTCTTGGCAAGATGGCCAATTTTGAAAGCCAGATAAAGCCAAGTGATTGATAATTTGGGGGTTGTGTAAATTGGCACGATAAGATTTGCAGCATGCACAAATATTTGAATTGTTGTCTCAAAACTAGGCTTAATTTTGCATCAATCATGAGACATGTGTTCCATGTGCGTCAAAAAAATAGTAGGTGCAGACAGAATTCAAAATGGCCGAGAAGGAAATAGATGGGAAAATTTCGAATGTGACATATTCTGCTCCTGTACTGTTCAATTGAGGACAGAATTTGAACAGACGGAACTTGTTCAGAACTCTCAAATTGAGCACCACCAAATACTTTTGCTTAAAGGCAAGTCAGTGTAGAGTTATTGCCCTTGACATTATGTTATATATTGTAGGCGTATGATGATAGAAAAGATCGCTAGTCATATTGCAGATTTTAGCCCCAGACTACAGAGCAACACGAGGGCTCTGTATCAATACTGTCCAATACCAGTTATCAACTTTCCCCAACTAGAGAACGAATTATTCTGTAATATATATTATCTCAAACATCTATGTGATACCAGTCGATTTCCTGATTGGCCAATCAAAGATCCAGTAAGTATTTAATTTAACAAGTGTTTCTAGTGGTCAAAATGTTTATTCACGTCTAGTTTATAAGACACTGAAAGGGAGGTTCATAACACAAATTATCCCTCGATCCCTCGACAATTGGAAATCGAAAAAGAGCAGGCTAACAATGTCCTGGCAAAATTTTCCAGCCTGCAGCCTGCATGGCGTTGTCCGTCTTCAATTTCTGACATGGTGAAGAAAAAAGTAGCACATTAGAGTCCATTTCTTTTCGGCTGATGTCTTGTAGGATGTAAAACTTTTCCAATTCAATTTCTTTTTAGGTACGTTTGTTAAAAGATATCCTGGATGCGTGGAAGAAAGAAGTAGAAAAGAAGCCCCCTACCATGTCAATAGAAGAAGCTTACGAAGTCCTACAGTTAAAAACTGGTAGTGGTGGACATGATGAATCAGTGATACGTAAAGCTTATTTTAAACTGGCTAAAAAATACCATCCAGATAAAAATCCGGAAGGAAAGGTTTGTTTCAAAATAAGTCATTATAGTTTCTTGATTTTAATCTGGTTTCCCAAGATTATTGAAGGAATTTTAAAGAGGTTTACTAAATTTTTTACGTGTATCAGGAACACTGATAGCATCAATTTATACCATTTTCAATTTTCAGTCAGAGGTCTGTGGTTCCTGCAATTCCACTAAAATAAATGTTTGATGACTTCACTAATTGCAAAATATGCGTGACGTCATCAAAAACTTTCAGTAAAGAATTGACAGAAAATCGAAAACATACTTCAGAATATGTTGTAGCCGGAAAGAATGTATTTATCTCTTCAAACGGGTGGCGGCAAATCGATTGTGTGTTTAGTTCACATGACCTTCATTTTTGTTCTCCCTCAACTGCGATCTGATTGGTCTGATATAAATAGCAACTATCTCATTTCCATGCCCACAAACAAAGTGTATTGGGCTTAGTTTAATACGGGTTAATAAGACCATGTCAAAACCCGTAATCGGGATACAATGCATCTGTTCATGATGTTCGGACTGTTCATGATGTTCGGATGTTCGGTTGTGTTTCAGGATATATTTGAGAGTGTGAACAAAGCGTATGAGTTTTTATGTAGTAAATCTAAAGTACAGGAAGGTCCGGACCCTCAGAATATTGTTCTAGTCTTAAAAGCTCAGTCTATTTTATTCAGCAGACACAAAGAGGGTAGGTAACTCACAAATTGTTTTCATTTTTTTGGTGTTTTGTAGCAACTTATGGGGCTCGCTCAATTGGTAAGTTCTGTCGTTTGAGATTCATAGAATCAACAGAACGTTCAATAAAACAAGTTAAAACAGAGTTTAGAACGCAATCCACGTGTGCCGAAAAAATAGTAGGTGCAGGCAGATTTCAAAATGGTGGAGAAGGTGATAGATGGGAAAATGTTTTAAGCTTAACCAAAATGACTCTCTGTTCAACAGTGGACTTATCTGGTGTCATGACTATACAACAGAATCTCTCTATAATCTAATAAATCTATAAAACTAAGTAATAATTCATTAAACTAAGTCATTTTGAAACATGCTTAGAAGAGTGTTTCAATAATTATTTAGTTTAATAGATATATCGTCTTATATAGAGATTCTATTCTTTAGTCACGGTACCTGGTAAGTCTAACTGATGAATATATACTCTTATTGACTAAGTTTGAGATTTTAAATTAATGTCCATTCTAAGAGATAGTATTCCTTTAACAGCTAAAGTAGGATGTAAAACTCTATTTTCTTTCATTCTATTATTATGAAAGTGTATTGTATCAGCATGTTGTATATTTAAGATTTGACTATATTTTACAGTGTTAGAACCATATAAATACGCAGGTTATCCTATGTTGATAAAAACAATCCGATTAGAGACAACAGATGATAGTTTGTTTAGTAAAGCTGCACCTCTATTATCAGCTGCTAGTGAACTAGCCTATCATACTGTTAATTGTTCAGCTCTTAATGCCGAGGAACTTCGTAGAGAAAACGGTATTCAGGTAATTCATGTTCTTTTTTTTTCTTTTATCTATATATTAAATGAAAGTTCGGATGTTAAAAGATCAGTGGAGGCTCGAGCCTCACAAGACTGAGGGTTTAAATAGGAGGCTGACAAATAGGTTCAAATAGGAGGTAGACAAATAGGTTCAAATAGGAGGCAGACAAAAAGGCTCAAATAGGAGGCCGACAAATAGGTTCAAATAGGAGGGGACAACTGTCAAGGCTGATATCAAAATGCAGCACCTCTGTGGAGGCGTCAAAGTTGCAAGCTTGTCATTGAGTGTCTGAAAGCCGCTTCTTAATACTCCTCCCCACCAGTGCTGCAGCTGTAAAAGAGAAACATGGCAGATTCTATTTTTTACATCTCACTTGACCATTTTAAGGCATTCTTTAAGATCTAGAAATTGAATTTGCTTTTCTTTTGTGTATTTTTATACACATTATATTGTGTGTCTTTCTTTGAGGAGGAGACCTTTGGACTGTTGAAACATGTTGCTTAAAAATTGCCCATGATCTATATGGCCTCAATCTAATTCAAATTAGGCTACAATTTTTTTTTGTCAGACTCCATAGCAATCTTAAAAGATTTATATCAATACCATGTACTATTGCTCTTCATTTCAACCAATCACAATGTAATACAGAATCCATGTCTAGATATTGACTATGAATTGTGAGTGAAACCCAGTGTAGAGCAATATAACCAATGAGATTATGAGGCTGCTGATACTCGTTGTAAAAGTGATCCTAATTGGCGGGAGAGTGACACGTGATTGTCTGCTATAAATAGCTTGAAACGTCACTAGTACTTGACAATAGTAATAAATCTCATTAGATTAGAATGGAGATCGACAAAAATACTAATAACAAAACGAAATAGTTATCTAATTTTAATCAGATTGAAATTGTCTAATATAGGAAATTTTGAAAGATTGTTATTTATTTCAGGTGTTACAAGAAGCATTTGATAGGTGTGTTAGTGTATTAGGAACCACCAGTAAACCTGAAGATATATCTGTACAGGTATAACACCTCTTTTATTATCCCTTATAAAATGTGGAGCATCCCTTGGTCCGTCCACAATTGCTCGTAAACACTGTAGAAGTCACAATTCTTGATGGATTTTGACGAAACTTGGTGTGAGTGTTCGCTATCATCCAAGGATGAACACTATTGAAATTTTTTAAAAATTGGAAAATGTGTAGTATCAGTTATTGCCCTTGTTCTTGAAAATGCATTCAATTTTTACTTCATAAACATTCTAAAGGGCACATTACTTGATGGACAGAAATAAGATAAAATCCAGATTTTAAGAAATAAAGGAATCTGATTGGATGATAAAACAAAATTTAAAATTCATTTAAGTGATAGACCAATCAGATGATTGCAATACAAAAATCAACTGAAGTTTTCCAGAATAAGGTCCCTGATTCACTGTTGTAGTAACTTTTTATCAGGGGTGTAAAACTCCATTTCAGTTCAATTCTGTATACTATATTTCAGGTGTGTATAAACATAGCCAAATGTTACAGTGTAGCAGCTCAATTTGAAGGTTGTCGAGAAAAAATACAAGAAACTTCAGCCATTATTAAAGATTTATGTCGAATTCTCTCATTCAAGGTCAGTAATATTAAATCAGTACGGAGCGTAAACTTATTTAAACTGGTCCGTCATTCCATATAAAGTTTCGCTCCGAAGGAACAGGTTGGACCTATTGTCATCTTGTCATTGATTGGATGAAATTCATGTCATACACTAAAGAAACAGGCCACGTATTCTCGAAACGATCTAAGTGCTAGGATGTCCTAAGTTCTTAACTTCTAACATTGATTCTAGGACATCCTAGCGCTAAGATCGTTTCGAGAATACCTGGCCAGGTAATATTAAATCAGTATGGAGCGTAAACTTGTTTAAACTGGTCCGTCATTCCATCTAAAGTTTCACACCGAAGGAACAGGTTGGGGCTATTATCATTTTGTCATTGATTGGACAAAATTCATGTCATACATTAAGTTATTATCTTCTTACATTGATTCTAAGAGGTCCTAGCGCTAAGATCATTTCGAGAATACCTGGCCAGGTTCCTAGTTTTCAACACTAAATAGACTACTTCTGGCTAAATCCAACGGTTAAAGATTTTGACCCTGAGATTACAGGCCCTACTTGTTTTTAGTGTAACAATAAGCTGAGACAGCAGAGGGCCAGTTAATATAACAATATGGTAATTTGTCCATTATGGCTGTTTTAGATCCTGTAGCTTATTTAAATGTATTAAAGGGATTGCAAAATGTTTTGTATCAGGGACACTGATAGCATCAATTAGCACCATTCTAATTTTGGATCAGTTGTCTGTGGTTCCTGCACTACAACTAAGTGTTTACTTAGAATTGCAGGAACCACAGACGTTTGATTGAAAACTGGAATGGTACAAATTGATGCTATCAATGTCCCTGATACACATACAAATTTAGTAAACCTCTTTCTTTACAATCCCTTTAAAGTAAGACTTTTAACAAATTTTCATTAAATAACCAACCGAGATACAGAACAGTATTTTATATCTGGTATCAGGTGTCTAGAAGAGGAAGCACATCCTGCCTGACACCACAACCACACTTAGCTAAACATACATGACAAATTAGAACGTACAAACCAAAAAATTGTGACTTGACTTATGAATTTTAAAATTTCAGAATTTACCCAAGTTATGTTCAGTAGTAGCAGACTGTGTGAGTGCGTTCTGTATAGATTTCTGGTTACAGACCAATCTTTATGAATCTGGTGTACTCTGGCATCTATTAATATATTTATTTCAATATGATTTTACTCTTGAAGAGGGTGGAGTGGAAAGAAGTGATGGTTCTAATCAACAGGTAAGTTTTCACTTTCATTTAGTTGTTTGGTTGAATATCTGAAAAATTTTTGAAGTTGTATCATAAAATTGTCAACCAATTGTAGGCTTCAATGAGATATTGCAGATGATATATTTAAATGGATTGTTTTCTAATTTTTTTATGTGTATCAGGAAAACTCATAGTATCTATTTACACTATTTCAATTTTCAATCAGACGTCTGTTGTTCCTGCAATTCCACAAAAATTAAGTGTCTGATGATGTCGCTAATGGCAAATGGCCTTAAATGTTAAAAAGCTTATTTTGGGATTAGTGACATCATCAAACACATAGTTTTAGTGGAACTGATGAACCACAGGCGTCAGATTGAAATGGTGCAAATTGATGCTATCAAGAAAACATCTTTAACAGTAGATGATGAGACATTATAGGCCATTTTGGATCATAAGGCCATTTGTCTTTTTTTTATTACAGGAAGTCAGTAACCAGCTAGCGAAACTATGTATCAAAGCATGTGCCAGACTAGGTGGTTACTATAGAAACGATAGTCAACTCAATAGTCCAGACAACCCGACCATCAAAAAATCCCTCCGTGCTCTCCTGACGCCATATCTAGCTAGAAAATTGGAAAATGAGGATCCATCTGAGGTAGATGAAATTTTTATCTTTTTAGTATAGTATAGTGAAATGTTGATTCGACCCTTTATTTATTTATATCCATTACATTTGTGAAATGAAATGAAAAAAAACAGGATATAAAAATCAATTTCAATTTATTCTCATATTCATTTCATTTCAATTTTCATTTTATTTTATTTTTATTTCAAGTTGTTTTCATTTCAATTTTAATGTCATTTTATTTTCATTTCAATGTGTTTTCATTTTAATTTCAATTTGTTTTCATTGTAATTTCATTTCAACTTGTTTTCATTTCAATTTCATTTCAAGTTGTTTTCATTTCAATTTCATTTCAAGTTGTTTTCATTTCAAGTTTTAATTTTTTTTATTTTATTTTATTTTTTATTTTATTTTATTTTTTTTTTTTTATTTTTTTTTTATTTTTTATTTTTTATATTTTATATTTTATTTTATTTTATTTTATTTTATTTTATTTTATTTTATTTTATTTTATTTTATTTTATGTGTTTCATTTCCATGTGTCGTTTCATTTTGATTTCCTTTCAATGTGTTTTCAATTTCATTCTGATTCCATTTCTTTTTTTCGATTTGATTTTTTATTTCAGTTCAATTTAAATTTTCATTTTTATTTTACTTTCATTTCAATGTGTTGTTCATTTCATTTCATTTCATTTCATATAGTCTATTAATATCTTATTATTGACATCTATTTTCAGTTACTTAAAATATTAAACAGTAATACAGAGAACCCATATTTAATCTGGGATAATGCCACTAGGGCTCAGTTACAGGAATATCTCACAGACAATCAGGAGAGAATGATCAAAACTGTGAGTTTTTTTATAATTTAGGGGACAGGAATTTGTAACAGGGATACAGGAGGGCTACAAATAATGTCATTAGCCAATAAGAATCTCTTTATACATATATTTTGAAATGTGCATATTTTAAACTTTAATCGTTATGAGAAGCTGATAGTTGTATGTTTTCTCTGACCTACCACCCATAAAGCTACACTCCAAATATTTCATTTGGATACTCAAAGTTTCAGAAAACAGTAAGAGTTCGATCAGGGCTAGGATGGACTGGGCTGAGCAGAGCAGTTAGTAGCGGCCTTAATGTCTTGTTAATTTTCAATGTACAGATGTTCAGCTGATTACACTGCAATCATAGCAGAGCAGAGCAGAACAGAGCTCAGTAAATTCGTATTTTTTACAGTTTGCAGAGCATGGTAAAGAAGTGGTGTAGAAGCACACACGAAATCCTCTATAGCAAATGATTGATTTCACTCTGTCATATATCTGTAAATGACCGACTTCGCTGCTCTGCTACACTCTTCTCTGCACCACTCTGCTCTGCCTGTAAGGAAATGCAGTTTGAATTTTTCCCTGGATTGTGACTTATGCTGACTTGTTACCGCCAGAACTGTCACCAACGCCACCAAAAAATTTGTATCATTTTCAGGGACAATGTGATAAAAGTTTTGGCGGTGATCTGGTCTATGAAATCCATTCAAAGGAACTGATAATAGGAGAAATATTTGTGAGAGTCTACAATGAACAACCAACTTTCCCATTGGAGGTAATTATCTCTTCGTACTTAAAGATGGGTTCCCTTATTTTCATTTATGAAATACTTATATGAATAGAAAGTAGGTGTTCTAATGAAAAATACCAGTTTGTCTCACATGTCCATAATTAATTCAGAATTAGCTAAATTGGAAGAGAATAACCAGCAGAATTCAAATGAGTGACCGATCAAGAAAGGTCAAAAAGTCTTTTTTGTTTATCCAGACTGTACATACATGAACATTTAGTATTGTTAAAAACTCTTAATTATATGCAATAAGAACATAATGATATGATTAAGAATACATGATAATTCATTAAAAACATCAATTATTCAAATAGTTTGCTTAATTTGACACTAAAAAATAAGGAAACCCATCTTTGAAAAGTTATAATTTGTGGTAAATTGTGTTAATACATGTGTTTTAGACATAAAATCCTCACCAGGACAGGGTATGGAATTCACAGATCAGCAAGAATGATTGACTGCTGAATATTGATCAATCCTCTAAAAATCAACCGTCATGTTTTAACCCACATAACATTTTTAAAGTTGACTATTTTTCTCTTTCAGAATTCTAAAGGCTTTACGATTGATTTACTAGATTTTCTGGGATCTCAGGCACAGGTATGTATTGTATAAAATCAAATAATTCCTTCAAAAATACCTCAAACAAGGAATTTCACTTTCTATTTCTATATATTTCTTTCATGTATATGGTAGAGTTTCAAGAAAAGACAAGTCATCTTTTTAACTTTCAAACTTGGATAATTCTGGACACACATGGATTTGAAGACTCAAATTTCAACGGTGAATTTAAAAACTAAATATTACTGATTAACTTAGCTAAAAAAATTCTGTGTCTGAGACTAACGTTCTGTTGGTCAAACTGATGGAAAACGTGTCCCTTTAAAGCTTTCCCCTAGCATTCTGTCCTCTTGTTAATATCACTCATTATTTTTATTTCAGTATTTACATTCCTTATTAATGTTACAACAACAGAAAACTACATCAACTCAATCTAAAGGTGATAGGCTGGGACAGGTGGAGATGGCTTTAGAGGCTCTTAGAAACGTCATCAGGAACAATCCTGGTAAGAACTTACTCTTTCTTTCAGCTAACAAAAGCTAACAAGCCAGATTTTGTCATTTTTGTGATATTTTGATTGGTGTATTTTACTTGACAGTGTCAAAATATTTGTAACCTATGTTTAAATGTTTCATTATAGAAAATGTCCTTAAATTGTTCTCTCTACATTTCCCAGTCTGATTAAGATTAGACCAAACTTTCGTTCCTTTTTTATTAGATTTATTTTGATATAGCAGTTAGTTAGGGTCTAAAGACAGCTCTGTCTGTTTGATGACACCACCAGCCAATCAAATTCCTGTCCTCTCAAAACTGGGATTTTATGACGTGAACAAAAGGTGTTTTCTGAGAAGGATTAGATACCAAATGTACTGTTTGTTTGTGTCTAAAAATTCGACGAAAATTCAAGAGGGCTGGCGTTAGACCCTAACTGAAGTGGCTAATTTTTATATAAAGGTTAATAAAAAACGGAACGAAAGTTATTTATTTTTATTGGCATAAGACCTATTCTATTCTATTTATTCTAGGTGTAGAAATTCAGTGTATAGGACACTTCAAATTATTATTTGCTTTACTCTCCTTAGAAGATTGTGCCAAATTACAACAATTTGCTTTAGAGGTAAGAATAAATTTTAGTTGATTTTCCTACATATGCCATGATTCCTTTCATATTTTTACATTTATTCATATTTTCAGGTTGTAAATTGTATTTATATTATCAGATTGTAAGTTGTATTTATATTTTCAGGATGTAAATTGTATTTATATTATCAGATTGTAAATTGTATTTATATTTCTAGGTTGTAAATTGTGTTTATATTTTCAGGTTGTAAATTGTATTTATATTATCAGGTTGTAAATTGTATTTATATTTCCAGATTGTAAATTGTGTTTATATTTTCAGGTTGTAAATTGTATTTATATTATCAGATTGTAAGTTGTATTTATATTTCTAGGTTGTAAATTGTATTTATATTATCAGATTGTAAGTTGTATTTATATTTCCAGGTTGTAAATTGTATTTATATTCCAGGTTGTAAATTGTATTTATATTTCTAAGTTGTAAATTGTATATATATTTCCAGATTGTAAATTGTATTTATATTTCTAGGTTGTAAATTGTATTTATATTTTCAGGTTGTAAATTGTCTTTATATTTTCAGATTGTAAATTGTCTTTATATTTCAGGTTGTAAATTATATTTAAATTTTCAAGTTGTTAATTGGTTTATATTTTCATGTTGTAAATTGTATTTAAATTTTCAGGTTGTAAATTGTATTTATATTTCAGGTTGTAAATTGTATTTATATTTTCAAGTTGTTAATTGGTTTATATTTTCAGGTTGTAAATTATATTTAAATTTTCAAGCTGTAAATTGTGTTTATATTTTCAGATTGTAAATTATATTTATATTTCCAGGTTGTAAATTGTGTTTATAATTCCAGGGTGTTAATTGTGTTTATAATTCCAGGTTGTAAATTGCGTTTATATTTCCAGGTTGTAAATTGTATTTATATTTCCAGGTTTTTAATTGTATTTATATTTCCAGGTTTTAAATTGTATTTATATTTCTAGGTTGTAAATTATATTTATATTTCCAGGTTGTAAATTGTATTTATATTTCCAGGTTGTAAATTGTATTTATATTTCCAGATTGTAAATTGTGTTTAAATTTCCAGGTTGTAAATTGTATTTATATTTCTAGGTTGTAAATTGTGTTTATAATTCCAGGTTGTAAATTGTATTTATATTTTCAGATTGTAAATTATATTTATATTTTCAGATTGTAAATTATATTTATATTTCCAGGTTGGAGATTGTGTTTATAATTCCAGGTTGTTAATTGTGTTTATAATTTCAGGTTGTAAATTGTGTTTATATTTTCAGGTTGTGAATTGTATTTATATTTCCAGGTTTTTAATTGTATTTATATTTCCAGGTTTTAAATTGTATTTATATTTCTAGGTTGTAAATTATATTTATATTTTCAGGTTGTAAATTGTATTTATATTTCCAGCTTGTAAATTGTATTTATATTTCTAGGTTGTAAATTGTATTCATATTTCCAGGTTGTAAATTGTATTTATATTTCCAGATTGTAAATTGTGTTTATATTTTCAGGTTGTAAATTGTATTTATATTTCCAGATTGTAAATTGTGTTTAAATTTTCAGGATGTAAATTGTATATATGTATATCCAGATTGTAAATTGTATTTATATTTTCAGGTTGTAAATTGCGTAACAAGTAATCAAGAATGTGTTAATGACATCTCCTCTGCTGAAGTCTTATCTTATTTATTGTTAACCCTACAATCTCTACCACAATGTAAGTACAAAATTATCAAAAAGCACTGGTATATTAATCCTGGTGTTAACAAAACAGTAGATAATAGGTCTGGGATAAAAAAAATTTTAAAGGGAGATAGAAAAATTGTTTTTGAGGTTATTTACTGAAACCATCTTTGATTTTGGTTTTCAACTTTTATTGTGTCTCAATAAGTGTATATATTCATCAGTTAGACTTACCAGGTACCATGACTAAATAATAGAATCTCTATATAACACCATATATCCATTAAACTAAATAATTATTGAAACACGCTTCAAAGCAAAGAGAACAATATGAAATTTGATGGTTGAAAGAGGACTGTATTGTCCATGCATCATGGTAGATTTAATGTACTGTACAACGTTAACTCACAGACTGCAATCCCAGCTTGCCAATTGATCTACTACCCTGTCTTTCAATTGTTATGTCTTGTTTATCCAGGTCGTTTACTAGCCTTAGAGAGTTTATTTGCTCTGTTATCCAGTACTAAAATAGTCAAAGAAGCAATGTCAAAAGGTAGCATATTTTTTTTTTTTATTTTCATTCAAAACACCCTGTGTCACAGTGGCTTAATGATTAAGACAGTTGCTTGTAAACTTTAGCTTCAAATTGACTTCAATTGAGCCACAGATTAAAGTTTGACCAAACTTTCGTTCTGTATTTTGAATATATCCACTTCAGATAGAGTCTAACGACAGCCCTCTTGAATGTGCCTGAAATTAACCTTTTGACCTAATTCAATGATGTCTGTTTCAACCAATCAAATTTCTATCCTCTCCAGCGCTGGCATTTTGTGACGCGTGAATATCAAGTTTGGGTCAAGAGGTTAATTTGACAAACATCCAATAGGGCTGTCGTTAGACCCTAACTGAAGAGGCTATATTAAAAATAATAGCTAATAAAAAAAAACATATCAAAAGTTTCCTCTGATTCTAAGTTTGATGGCATGCAGTTGGCTGATTTTGTCGAATATGAAATTTTACACAACACCGTTTTCCACCGTGAAATTTGTTTTATTGCTCATGAGCAATGATTTGACTAAAATTCTGAATTTGTTTATTTTCAGGAGCCTTAGTATATTTATTAGATTTATTTTGTAATTCTACCAACCCTCAAGTTCGTGAAAAAACTGCCGAATTACTAGCCAAGATGTTAGCTGATAAATTAGTGGGTCCTAAAGTTCGGATTATTCTCAATAAATTTTTACCCAGTATATTTATGGATGCCATGCGAGATTCACCAGAAGCCAGTGTTCACATGTTTGAAGGTTTGTTTTTCATTTTTTGTTTTACTTTGAAAGATCATTTAGTGGCGTTTTATGACATGACTAGAGGGGAGATACCAGGGGCTACTATAAACAAATATGCAGTTCCCCTCTTGTGACGTCATAAAACGCGTAAGTTTTAGTGGAATTGCAAGAACCACAGATGTTGGAATGAAAATTGGAATTGTGCAAATTGGAATGCTATCAGTGTCTCAAATACACATAAAATTTTTTTTAATGTATTTTATATTTGCAGGAACTCATGAAAATCCTGAGTTAATTTGGAATGATGACGCTCGAGAAAAAGTCTGTGATTATATTCAAAAATTAAAGACTGGGTAAGTAATAGTGACGTTTGAACTCGAATTATCGAAAAACTACTTTTATTAAGGGACCTGTTAGCCGTTTGACCAATTGTACCTTAGTCTCAGAAACAGGAATTTTTTAGTTAAGCTAATCAGTAATAGTGTTCACAGCTCACTGTCGAAATTTGAGCTTTCAAATCCATTCGAAAGTTAAATTTTTGGAGGCATTATGCGATTCGTGTACATTTCTAGTACTTTGAAGACTTTTTACATATATTCAAGACCCAAAATTCAACACCAAAATATGGCAAATCTGTCCCTTTAAATCAAATCATGTCAAGAACAAAATATTGATTGGATTTTTTGCAGGCATTATCAAGCTCAGAAAGAGAATATTGGTGCTAAATGGACTTTACCTGAAGATGTGGAGATTGTTTATTCCGATATACAAGGGGAACTAACTGTTGGTGGAGTGTTTTTACGTTTATTTATTGCCAATCCTGGTTGGGTGTTACGGAAACCAAAAGAGTTCCTGGTAGAATTGTTGGAGAAGTGGTCGGCGCTAGTCAGTCAACAGAATCCTAATGTAAGTATCAGAGGTAATTCGAGACAAATTTGAAAGCCAAGGTGGCTCAGTAAAGCTAAATGTCGGGTTTCAACCCTGGCATAGATCAAGATTGTAGCTTCCAACTTTCCAACCTGCAGTCTTATTCTTGTAAACTTAACTTATTATGATTTTAATGTTCCAGTCATCTGATTGGTCAACCACTAAAATTGATTTTAGATTTAGTGATTGACCAATCAGTTTACTGTATCTTAAATCTGGATTTTATTAAGTTAAGTTTTGGAGATTAAGGCTCCTGATTTCTGTCAGTGATGCAGCTTGAACCAGGGATCATGATTTGCCCATACAAGCTGGACATGACCGACTGTCCTGCCAAAATGTCCGACTGCAATTAGCCTCTGTCGGATATCAAGTATAGGTCCAAGAAAAAAAACAGTCTTTCTTTTTTTTCTATATAAATATGTCTGTATTTTATAGGGAGAAGTTTTAGAAACAGTCACAACAGCTGTCGTCTGCCTATTTTCGGCCCAAGCCCCTCTGTTAGATCAGATACCACAGTTAGGCTATATACCAAAGGTCTTTATGGCTATGAAATCAAAAAATAATGCCATTCCTAAGTCTTCTATTATGATTGCACATCAACTAGCACAAAATGAGGTAGGTGTTGCAAATCCTTATTATTTATAGATTTTCTGTAGGTTTTCCATCTTTTTCCTGTCAGAGAATATAGCCTGACTGAATAGAAAGAATAATAATTGACCAAAAATTTTATATTAGGCTACAAAGCACCTCATTACCCGCCAAAAAACGTCAAAATTGCCCCCACCCCAGACTGAAAATCCCAGCTCTAGGCTAATGTCTTTCCAGTTGGAATAGGGGAGCTGCGGTGGCTCAGTGAGTTTTCACACTTGCTCGCTGACCTGAAGGTCCAGGGTTCAATCCCGGCATAGGTCGAGATAATACCTTCGAATTTTTCAACCCGGTTTCCCCCTGTCAGTGATGCAGGTAACAGGGGCTGACATGGAAAAAGCGTCTAGTCGTTCGGATGGGACAATAAACCGAGGCCTCGTGTGCTACAGGCTGTGCACGTTAAAGATCCCCCGACAGTTGGAAATCGAAAAAGAGCAGGCTAATGCCGCTGTCCTGGCAAAATTTCCCTCATTGCACCCTGCATGGCGTATCCCACATGGTACAGAAAAGTAGGACGTAAAACTCCATTCATTTCATTTCATTTTTCCTGTTGGAATAGAGGATCCTTAAAAGCTGCAGTTGTTATCCTTGTATAATATCCTTTCTATTATTAGCTATGTATCCGAGCTATGACCCAGTGTGAATGTATAGACCCTATGATGATAGGTATGAAATCTAGGAGAGATCAGATAGCTCTAGCTTCAGAAGCTATCAGTAAAATTTTTGAGAAGTGTGAAGAGGAACTCGTCTCTCAGGTCAGTCAATCAAATTAACACTTTATATACCCACACAAACTTCTGGAGTATATTGTTATTACAAATCTACATTGGCATTCTAGTAAAATATCCATCATTGCTCACAGCATAGAGTAAACCTTACTCATTATAACAAAAATGTTGAAAAATAGCATGTAAAACCTTGAAGAATTATTGCGATACTGAGTTTGTCCGAAGTGGCAGTGGAATAGCTCGGTAGCAAGTTGTCGTGCTGGACAATAAGGTACCACGGTAGCGAATCCTCTTCAAGGTAAAAAAGAATTCTGATTCCTGTGCCAGTGCTTCTTGTGTCGGCTTTCACCCTTCAATATCTTATACCTAAAGAACAAAAGAAGTTCTAAATTTTTCTTTTGAAGGCATTGAAAGCTGAGTTGATACAGTTTTTACTACGACTATTGGGAGGTGGTTTAGAAAGCGTAGAAAACCCGGCTGCTACTAAGGCTCAAATAGTCAAAGCTATTAAAGCCATGCAGAGAAGTCTTTTATATGCAGAACAGGTAGGTCAATTTTAGTGTTTCTACTGATGACTCCAATTATAATTGGCCCAAGGATTTTATCTGCAAATTCTTAAGAAATTAGCCTTCAAAGAATGATGCCTACAGATGAAGTCAATAGTTGGCAAAGTAAAGTACTCAAAAGATCCAATTAGGAATTCAGGTGGCGCTCTATTGGAGAGTTCTGAACCGCTTCCGTCTGTTCCTATTCTGTCTCCAACGTTGGTGCTGTGACCAATGGAGAAACAAAAAGCTATTCGAGGTGGACACAAAAGCGCCAGATTAATCCACAAGACAGACTTCCCTTTAACAATATATAATTAATATGTTGTAGATAAGTGAGATATTAGATGGTTCAACAGTATGGAAAGATTATAAAGATCAACGCCATGATTTGTTTATATCTAATACGAACATCTCTGGATATCTGACAGGTGGGAACAGTTACCTCCCTTTTTTCATTTTCAGCCTACCCTTAAAAATTTGTACAGAAAGAATTGCATCCCTTGTCACTCCATCTTCTATTTTCCTGTAATTCCTGAAAGCGAGGTTCATAACGCAAAGATGCAAAGATAGCAATGTCATAAGAATGAATAGCCTATGTGACGTCACTGAACACACTTTTGTGATGATAAAAACTTTATCTGAAAGCTTAATCAATTCTGATATTAATGATAGGACTGGAGAAGGAGGCTTTAAAGACATCAAGGTGACACCATGTTACCTTTGTTTTCGTTATGAGCCTCGTTTTAGATTCAATATGGCCGACGTTTGAATAAGGTCTGTTTAAAAACATCAAGATGACACCATATTGCCTTTGTTTTCGTTATGAGCCTCGTTCTGGATTCAATATGGCCGACGTTTGAATAAGGTCTATTGCTTCACAGATGGAAATTCTTTAATGCCATATTTCTTTCCTAGAAAAAAAGTCCGGTGAATACACAGGTTCGTTAGATGAATGATCTTTGAAAATTTAAAGTTTTTGAATTATAACTGATTTGGTTTTGTTTAACTGGCATTGTTACTAGTTACTAGAATGAATTTGTTTAGAATTTGTCACCTGTTCTCCCAAATTTAAAACCTGTAACATTTTTTGGTTGTCTTGATAGAAAGTTAAATACTAAAAGTAATCATAACTACTAAAATTTAATGAATTCTGATTGGTTGACGTTTTTACAGTCATTTTGAATGATGCATGCTTAGACATGTTCCTAAAGTTGTTGTTTGTTCAATTGAGTAAGAGTAAAGTTGAAAAGGGAACAAACAACAAGGGGTCGCAAGATTGGAGAGTTCTGCTCATTTAGGATTCATTGTTCAATAAAACAAGTTGGAATATAGTTCAGAATGCGTTCTTTAGGTGTAGACAGAATTCAAAATGGCGAAGAAGGAAAAAGATGGGAAATTTTTTAATTTGGCATATCCGCTACTTTACCATTTGATTGAGGCTGGAATTGGAACAGACATAATCGGTTGAGAACTCTCCAATTGAGTTGAACCTAGTTGAAGCTAAAAAACTAAGACATATAGCTTGTATGTTAAGGCTCCCCTGGGTGACATACAAAAGAGTAGACATTTATATTGCAGGGAAGAGGCAAAACCTTATTGTTGTCTGTGAATATTTGAATAGATAGAAATTGGAAGAGAGTTACTGTTTACAAAATATTTATGTATTATTATTCCTACTTGACTTATCTTGTAGCTTAAAAGGATTGTAAAGAGATTTTCTAAAAAAAATTATGTGTTTTGGGGACACTGTTAGTATCAATTTACACATTTACAATTCAGACATCTGAGGTTCCTGCAATTCTACTAAAACTAAGTGTTTGATGATGTCACTAATTGAGAAGGCCTTATGTGATACAAGCATATTTCACCATTGGTGATGATGATTAGTTTTAGTGGTATTACAGGAACCACAGACGTCTGATTGAAAATTGGAACAGTGAAAATAAATGCCCTCAGTGTCAGCAATACAATAAATCAACCAAATAAAAACAATCCATTTAAATTGAATAAGCTTTTTGTTGTTGAAAACAGGGTTGTTTTTTGACTATTTAATGTAACTGTTCAAAACTAATGGTACCAGAAACTGATTACCTGTATATTGTAGGTCCTACAGGTCCAGGTGTGGCTGGTTATTTAACAGCAGGAACCAGAAGCAATCTACCAGACGCCCCTCCTCCTTTAGATCATGGTCATGAATAAATACTACTCAGCCACAACAACATCATAAATATTATTAATTACTGGATGTCAATTATAAGTGTTGTACAACAAAAAATTGAGATAGCATTGTACAACAAAACCATGGGTACATTATGCATTACAAACCCATTCTAAACATGGGTGTACAAATAAACCAAGATAGCTTTGGAGTACATCAGATCAAGGTAACCAAAATGATGTTTTACAATTGTTGTACCAAAAACATTGTTGTACAAAAAAATGCAACAAAATCAAAGTTCTTCAAACAAGCCAAATGTAATATAGTTGTACAACAAAACAATGCAATACTTTTTCATGTGAATCAGGAAAACAAAGAGCGTTGTAAAAATTTGGCACCTGAGCTACAAAAAGAGAGCCTATGATTATTAAGATCTGTAGTACAAATTAATGTGATATTCAGTCTTTTAACAGCTTGATTCAGACATGATTGGTAACTGAAGAAAGATCAAAAATATATAAGATTGTGGAATCAATCATTGAAAATTAAAATGCGCGAGCAAAGAACAAATATTCCTTAAGTATAAAAGTGCTATCAAAAATTATTTTTCTTTAAAATTCTGATTTGCAATTAATATATTTTATGTATAGCCTGTTTTAAAATTGTCATTAGTAAGTTTTGTTTGTAAAATATTATGTTAAAATTTGATAAGTTTTGTAATAATTTGAATTTTTCAAAAAATAACCAAAAGAATTCTTTTCTTTATTCATCTGAAGTATTTGGGTTTTTTTTAAAGCATCACTTGCTTCAATTTGCTAAAACACATTCTAATATTCAAGAACGAAACATGCTGGCTTTTAATGCACAAAATTGTACAAAGTTTGTAATTGCTGTTGTTAGATTTGTTATTCTTGTTACTCTAGATTGTCACTTTGTTATCACAAATGTCACTTTGTTATACCAAATGTCACTTTGTTATCACAAATGTCACTTTATTGTTTCAAATGTCACTTTGTTATCACAAATGTCACAACAGATGTCACTTTGATACAACAAATATCACTTTATCGTTTCAAATGTCACTTTGTTATTTCAAATACCACTTTGTTATTACAAATGTTACTTTGTTATTACAAATGTCACTTTGTTATTATCATAATTTTATAATCAAATGTAAATGAAAAATAACTTTGTAAAATTAGATTATATAAAAATATAACGTGGTTATTTCAAAAGGATAAATTATAATAAAGTAACCTTGTATAAATAACAAAAAAATAAGTTATTGCACATACAACATTGTTATCAATATTATAGGTTTAATTAATAGGTTAATCAATTATGAATTGTTATTATTAAAATGATTAATGTTTGTTATTGAGAAGAGTATAAAGTGTGATTTTGAGTTGTGTGTAGAAATACATGAAACACTAAAACAAGATAGGAATAATAACTATTTTATTAAAGGGATACTTCCTCTTAGGATGACCAAAAAATTGAAATTTTAAACTAGGCAAAAATGAGACATTGTTCATCAGTGGACTTTGCTGGTGTCATAACTATACAACAAAATCTCTCTATAATCTAATTTTATGTCCATTCTAAGAGGTAGTTTCCTTTTAAACAGCTTCATGTACATGAATACTGTGGCAGATAACAACAGTTATACAGGACATGCTAACACTGTAGAACACCTTATGTCACCCTGCAACTGGACTGTCGACTGGATATCACCTGTATAATGAATATTCTTATATGGAATAGTTCCCATTGTATATTATCATTTCTAAATAAATCAAATACCATATTTTTATAGCAGTGTAGAGATTCAACTGTATCTTTGTGTAAGTAAAATGTTAAATTTATATTTTTTGAAATTAATTCATCGGATAGGACTGATTTAATTGTGTCACAAATAAACCCTCTAGGTTGGCTACTTGGGGTTTGTTATGTAAAATCTAAACAGTTACATCCTTAACTTGGGTCAAGGTTTCTAAAGAGTTTTATTATGTGGTATAAAATGAATCAGTTATCCTTAACATAGAAACTTTACAATGGACAGTGATAGTAAAGAGGTTTTATAAATTTTGTATGTGTATCGGGGACACTGATATCATCAATTTACACCATTTCAATTTTCAATCTGTGGTTGCTGCTATTCCACTAAAACTAAGTGATCGATGTCGTCACTAATCGTCAAATATGTATGTATTACACAAGACCGATTAGGGATGGCATCTAACAGTTAGTTTTAGTGGAATTACAGGAACCACAGACGTGGGAATGAAAATTGAAATGGTGCTATCGGTGTCCTCGATACACGTTTAGAAAACCCCTTTACGAATTCTTTAAGGCCTCTTTCAAATTTAAAGAAACGTTGCCAAATTCTTTTCTACATATATTAATTATGGTTTAGGTTGAGTATCACTAGAGGGTATCTAAAATCGAAGTTTATTTTGGGAAAGCTGTTGATAGATGTGTCGTACAAATCTACGTATGGTTCTTACAAAGAAATAGCAAACACGAACGCAGTTCACAACCATTTTGA